TTTAAAGGCTGGTGCCCTCTTGAGACATGATAATCAAGTGGATCATGTATAATAACCAGGTGGATAGGGATTGTTGCATTTCTTGAACAACTGCATGTAAAATGCCTTTCAATACTGCAGCCGTCAAAGGCAAGCTCGGTGCAGAAGTCTTCCTGGTGGCTGGTCCCAGACTGTGGACCTCCCTGGAGGCCAAGTGGCCCTAGGCAGGCATCCTCTTTGCTATTCTTCCAGCAGTCAAAGTTGCTTCTATTCAAGCACACAACTGACATGTAAACTGGATTGTCAGGTTAGGTGCTGTTTTCATCCTTCTTTTCCTGCTGTGCTCTTAACTGTCTTTTAATATAATTGTGTTAGGATTGCTTCCAGTTTTATCTTAATTTTTGGCTGTAATTATAAAAACCATTTCCTGGTAGAAAGGCAGGGCAAACCACTACTCATGACCTTTGCTGCAGAAGCAGAACATGCAGCATGGTCCTTTCCTTCCTAGAAGATGGCAGCTATACGGTATATCAGTAGTATAGGACTGAACACTTTTATGCAAACCTTTTAAAAACAAAAACAGCATTCTGGCAGGCAAAATATTCCCAACCATGCCCTGCCATAATCAGCTTTCCTTTCTGGCTACACATACTGGTTTGGTGCCTTGAATGCATTAAGGCTTGCTTCATAGCAGTAGTGCATAGGATTGTGTGCTGGTAGCACAACCACATTCCCATTCCTGAAGAAGTAAGATTCTATAGCATGTATTTCTGAGTATGCATGCAGAGAGTTTCAGTCTTCCCTGGAAGTGGTTCTAGCCATGGGTGCTTCCACCTGAGTGTTTTGTTGAACCATGGCCCTGCCTCATTCACAGAATTTTATAGAACAGGGAACACGGTTCAGATGTCATTTTCCACTAGTAGGCTTTCTGCTCCCCCCCCCCCACTGCTTTTTAGCCTTTTTTCATACTGCAGAAATTTCAAGGAGAAAAAGATGGAATAGTTGCACAGTACTTCTGACCAGGAATGTTCCATAAGGAGGCACCCTTACCAAAAGGTGCTTAGGACTGAAGACTGGGAGCTCAGAACAGTAACGTTTGAACATGCATCGTGTGAGTTGGTGAAATAATAATTGTACAGATAGAAATATTTATTCTGAAATGGGAAGATTGGCAGGGCTTGAAGGATTGAGTGAGATCTTTGGCCACAAGGTGGAAAAAGCGGTAATACTGAAAACCTTGCAAATCCACTTGAGATTTAACAGACTGTTTGAAACTATTTTCAGACTGCCGCTGAAATGTTTGATTTGCCTTTGGTGAGTTCAACTGTTTAGAAAAGCTAGATTTTAAGTCTGAGCATGCACAGAACCTTGACCGTTTGCTCAGTTAACCTGCCAAATTGAACTTTCTATTTGGTAAACATCAAACTAAAATTGTGAAATCAAAGATGATAAGCTGAATTTGGGGACTAAACTAAGCCACATTTGAATGTTTTTCATCTACTGAAAGTATTGCTGAACAGTATTTCAGTCTTAATATAAAGCAGTGGAATCCTTGAAGAAAATTGTGAAGAAACAAAAAGCAATAGAGCTGTCAGGTGAAAGTCCCAGCAACTCTTCAGTCTTGAGCGTGACCAAGAAGGGGGAAGACCTGGAGAGATGTAGTTGGCGCCCAACCTATGGAATTCACTCCCCAAAGAGGTCCGCCTGGCACCGTCATTACTGGTTTTTCGGTGCCAGGTAAAGACCTTTTTATTTAAACATCATTTTAATTGTTAAAATATATGATCTGGCCAGGGCAACTTCTTCTTCCTTCTCTTTTCTCCTCCTATATTCTTTATTTACTTATTTTATACTGTTAATTTTAATTTTATATTATTATGTTTGTATCTCAGTGTATTTTTTGTATTTTTGTATTTAGTGGTAATTTATTATATTCTATTGTATTTCAAGGTATTTTATTGTGTTGTAAGCCACCCCGAGGCTTCGGCAAGGGGCGGCATAGAAATGTAATAATAATAATAATAATAATAATAATAATAATGGTATTCTGGCCAGGACAGCTGATTCCTGGCTTAGAGCCACTTCCTTCCTGACTTCTGCAGCAAAGTAAAGAGGTATCATTGCTGGTAAAGAAAGGTCTCTGGTCTTTCTTCCCACCAAGGTCTGAGTCTCCTTGCTTCTCCTCCTTCAGTTGCCTTACGCGTCATTGAATAACCGTGGGGGTTACTTCTGAGTAAACATGGGCGTGAAATCAGGAAGGCATTTCATATGTTTGCATGGAAGAGAGAGGAGGGTACGGTTAGCATCAAGAACAGGTGAGGTTGGGACCCTGCCAAAGATCCATGCCCCACTGATTGGATTTGCTCCTCCTCTATACCATGAGAACATGCTTGCTCACCTGCCTTTTGGGCTGACCCAGTGATGGTAAAAACAAGGAGCACAGGATGGTGCTGTAAGGCAAAGCCAGGGGTAGGCAGAAAGCAGATTGGGATCTCTTGATACATCTCTAAATGATTTGGGGTAGATCTACAAGGATTTCTTACTGTCACTGTTTTAATGTAAAACATAAACGCCTTTTCCTGCTCCTTGACAGCTATTACTTTTTGACAGTTAACACCCAGAAAGCTTGTGGGGAAACAGGAGTAGATTTGTGCAAGAGCCCAGTTCTAGCACTGGAGGAAAAAATCCCCGAGTTTAGCATATGCTTAGGGAAACATCCTTCTCCACTCTGTATCTGCCTTTCTGAGCCACCATTGCATTATATGAATTTTGATGTTTGACCCTGGCTCCAGGTTCTATGAAAAATGAAGTCAATCCTGAAGCCCTGAAGTCTCTTTCCACCAGGGCTAAGACATAGGTGTTAAACCTCTGCTCCTTGGCCTGGGTTAAATTTTCTGCCACAGATATTTATTAGATTTTTATCCCACCCCATTAGCCATAAGGATCCCTAGTGAATATTGATACTAGTGAAAACAATTCATATGGCTGCTCCAAAGGCAATATTTGATCTTCAGATGCAGTAGTAACCCTCTTCCTGCAGTCTATCTACACGTTCTGTCAAAACAAGTTATGGTGGGAAGGGGTAAGGGTGACCATTTGCCCCAACCTCTACATGAAGGTAAGGATGGGCCCTATATATGTGCCTTCACATACACATACCTGTATTTGCTGCCAGGAACTTTGATTGTAGCAGTATTCAGGACTGTAGATACAGGTAGGCTCCATGTGGGAACACTTGCATGCCCAAAGCCTTTTCTTGCCTTTGGCTGTACACTTTGAGGCTGGCCAGGGAGTGAGGCCAGCACCTGGGTGGAGGCCCCGGATGGGATCAGTCAGCAGAATGCAGCTCCCACTCCAGAGCTATTATGAGGTGAGAGAAGCCTGAAGTGGTCTACTTGACTGTGCCACTTCACCATGTGGGAATCCACTTCTGACCATTTCTTTCTGAATACTTGCTGGTAAAAATGGATTATGGTAAGACTGTAGTTCAGTTTGGTCCCTGAGATGCTGGTCTTGTGAGGACTTTTGTTGTGCTGTTCCACAAGGTCCTATTAAAAATGCATCCCTCACCAGTTTAGGGTGGTACAGTCCTTTGTGCTATCTCAGATCTTCTCTGCTTTACCATTTAAGGCCAGGCTTAAACTACTGCTCTTCAGGCATCCTGTTGGAGTGGAGACCAGTTTGGTCCCTATACTGGTGTCACTGGAATGGTTTCCTTTTTCTTATTCAAGTGGATAGCATCTAAGGTAAAGTCCACCTGTACAGCCACTGATAATGAATACTGAATTCTGGAGTTTGGCGTCCCAGTTTTAATTTATCATGTGATCAAGGTGTCTTCCTTCCTCTGTACTTTGAATTTCTTGAGGATGGCTGCTTGCCCCAGACTTGTTGCTGGATGGGAATGAGCAGTGTACTTGCCAGGGAGATGCATTAGGAAGAGAGAAAAGTGGGGTTCAGATCCCTATTCAAAGCTGAGTCAGTCACTATCTCGCAGTCTAATTTACTGCACAGGGTTGTGAAGATAAAAATGCAGGCAAGACCATGGACGGGCTCCATTTCTTCTTTGGAGAAGAAAACAGTCGAACATAAATGCATTAAGGCTTCAGTCCTATACATACTTATTTGGAAGTAAGTCCCATTGAATACAACAGGACTTAATTTTGAGTAGACCTATATAGGGTAGTTGCATAACTTTCTTTAGAATAAGCCATAGCCTGTCTAGTGAGTTCACAAGAGGCACAAAATTAGGCTTTTCGGCAAATCAATTTTTTTTAAAAAAAATGAATATCCTTATTTATGGGACCTTAAAAAATAAACACGACATGGTTGATTTATAAAATGAAAAACGGGATGGCAAAACGCAGGACTCCGGCTTGCGGAGTGTTTGCCAATCCCATGTCCACTATTTTCTTAGAAGTAACTCCCACCGTTTTTCATTGAGGTCTAAGGTTCAATCCAATGCACGTCTAGGCAGAAAGAAGTCCTACGACTTCCAGGTATTCTTCAGCCAGTGCTGCCTGGCGAACACTTGGGAATTTATTTGCCTAAACGTGCACAGGGCTGCGCTTTTAACCGCCGGGGAAGCACTGATGGCAGCTGTAGCGCCAAAGTGGAAAGCCGCCGTCAAGAATCTGCTCTCGTTTTCACCCTCTTCAGACAATGACAGCGCTCGCGCCCCTTCTTCCCGCGAGCCCTTTCTGAAGAGGAAGGGAGAGTCTGTGCAGAATGACGCCAACTTTCGGGTTCCTCTCCCACTTCAGACCGCGCCGGAGAGAAAGCCCTCCTCGAGCTGCTTGCTCCCCCGCCCCGCTTAAAGCACGGCGAGAGGCTTTTTGTGCATTTCTTTCTCCCTCCTCCGGCGACCTCCTGGCGCCTCCGGCGGCCGTCCATAGGCGGGTTACGCGCGTCGCCTGTTTCTCCCGCTCCCTCTCGCACGCCCGTCCGGCCCCGAAGAAGGCGGGTCGCGGGGATTCGGCTCCTCCTCGCGGGAGGCGCGTATTCGGCGGCGCGGGCGGCAGGATTAGCTCATCTTGGCGGCGAAGACAGAGCGGCAAGCGCCGTCCGCGGCCGGAGCCTGGTTTTCGAGCTCTCTTTCTCCCTGCGCCTGCCTCTTCCCTCGTTCCGGCTTGCAGTTCGCGGCGGCGGCGGCGGCGCCCTTCTCCGTGCCGGCGGACGGGCGCGGGGCTCGTGCATTATTATTCCCTCCCCCGCCCCCTCCTCCTTCTCCAGCCCTCTGGTGTCTCCCCGGCCGGCTCTATGGCTCTGTGCAATGGAGAAGCCAAGGTCAGTGCCGCGCCGACGGGAGGGACGGAAAGACGCGCGAGGGAGAGAGGCAGGCCAGCGGGAGGGGAAAGCTGCGCGGCTCCGTTTCCTCCCCGCGTCCTCTCCCGGCCTGCCAGCTCGCTCGCTCGCTTCCTCCCTTCCTCCCTCCGGGGGCTTTGTGTGCTCTGTGTGTCGGAGGCGAGAGCCGTGTGGGGAGGGCAGACCCTCTCCCCCCTTCTCCTCCCCATCGGGCTTCCCCTGTAAACAGCAGCAAGATCGCTCTCCCTCGCACACTCCTCCCTCCCTGCCTCCCTCCAGCGCTCCCGTTTGGCCCTTCTTGCTTTTCCTCCTTCCCCGGAGGAGGCTCCATGCCGGGCACATGGGAAAGAGGGCGGGGGGAGTGAGACGGAGGGGGTGGGGAGGGGGGGAAGAAGAGGGACGGAGGGTGACTGGCACTCGCCTCCCCCAGCAGCGCGGGCACCGGGGAGAGGAAGGACGCAGGCGCCCGGGCCCGACTTAGCCCGCCGCTTGCTCGTGGCCCCTCCCCTCGGGTTGTTCCCGCTGCCGCTTGCCCCACATGGCTCGGCGGTGGAGGTGGTAAGTGTGGCTGGCTTGGCAGCGCGAGCGCCCCTTGTCTTTTTTGTGTGCGTTTCCTCCCTTCGGGGATGGAAAGAGATGGGCGACCAGCCTGTGCCACTGCCACGGGGGGTGGAGTTCTGCGGGGTGGGTGTTGTGTAGGACACCTCTCGGATGCTCCTCCAAGAAAACGGATACTACTTGCTGGTTGTGGACCCTTTCGGCAGTTGGTACTTTCTTTTTTGTCTTCATAATCTGAAAAGAACTGGTTCTTCCTTCCAATACTCCTCTGTGGTGGGACCCGCGCGCCTGCACCCTTTCTGAATGGAGATTTTCGCGTGGTTCTCAAGATTGCCATGTGCCAGAGTTCTCCTAACAGACCTTAAACTCTGCTTATTGGAATATTGCAAAGATTTGTTTCTTTCCACTCTAGTGAATGTGTGTCGGTCCATGAAGTGCGGACTCTTTTATGCTTGAGTTATTCTGAGAACAGGAGTGTTTTTAAAGAGTGCTCATTTTGGAAAGAAGTGTGTTTCTGTTGCTACCATAAGAGATATCAAAAGAATTACTTGCCCTGGATGTCTTGGTTGCTTCCATATTGTCTAATAGCTGGTTTTATATTGTCTAATAGCTGGTTTTATTCACCAAAACAAGTGTCTGAACATACTCTTCTACATCAACTCAGTTAAAAACTTAAGAAATATATTACAGATATGTTACAGTGTGTCCCATGTATTGGCTGTCAAATCCTGTAGTTTTTAGGTTTTACCAAAGTTAGGTCTGGCTGAAAAGCAAGTAAGTTAATATTCTATCAGCCAAATAGTTACAGAGAAATTATATGTTCCAATAACTTCAGAACTTACTATTGTGTACATGTAAAAAAACCGACTGGAGACGTTCAGATGATTGGTGTACCTTATGCCTGTTCAGATCTTGAGCACTACCCTTGCTTTGTGGATAGCAAGGTGATACTTGTTACATTTGATTCAACAACTGTACCTCTAGATTTGGGCAGTGATGGGTAAAAAAGCAACCAACATACTGTTGGGTCTGCCCTACTTAGACTCTATTATAAGGTTCTACTCCCTTTTATTGGAATACCTTTATTCCATCTGGTTCTTTGAATAAGCAGTAATTACAGGTGCAGTAAGTAAATTATTCTCTGAGGCAAGCAGTATGGATGGATAACTGCTATGTAGAGACAAATGGCTTTCAAAGTGTAGTTAAAAGTAGGAGTTGATCAGAAAGATGTGTCATTCTGTTTGTTAGACTAGACCAGAAATAGGCAAACTGGTAACCTCCTGATATTTTGAACAGCAACCCCCATAATTCCTGGTCATTTTCCATGATAGCTGGAGGTCTTGGGAGCTGTAGGCCAAAAACCTCTGGGGATAAGGTCACCTATTCCTGACTAAACCTTTTTCTCATCATTCCATGGAGCTTAGTTGGATGTACTCTCTGTTTTCTCCTGGCCTTTGAATGTAAGTGTCCCAAAATCAGAGGAAATGAGGACCTCAGAAAGTGATCAGAACTGTGTGTGGTGGTATGTGTGTGTTGGGGGGGGTGTGCCTAAGACATGTAAAATTAAGGATATCCATTATATGAAGAAGGTATTTGTCCCACTCCTGGCAAGTGCTCTGCTGTTGTTACAGACTTTTCCACTCACAGCAGCATTCACTTCACTTCTGGATGGCTGTTTTGTCAAGGTTAAGAAAATGGAACTTAGAGTTAATTTCTTTCATGTCCTTACATGGGCCAGCTGGAGGTGCATGGGTAAAGTCTGTGTTAAGATGAGTACAGCTAACTAGAGTACACTTGACAACTGTGACAAGCGTGCATTTGCTATTGGAAACTGACCTCATGATTCAGCTTTCCCCCCTCATTTCTCCACATAAATCTTTGTCTCAAAAACACTTTCCCAAATGATTATGCATGTTAATAATTCCACAGCATATTTAGTTATCTGGGTGATATACAGGATTTTTCAGTTCTTGTTCTTCATGCTCTGTGATCTTGAGGAGATATGCTTCAATATGTCTCTTGCAGCACAACTCTACTTCTGAGTAGCTGTTCAATTCATAACAAGTTGAATTTATGAGCATGTTTCAATATTAGATCCTTTATCTACATCTTTCTTTGCAGTCCATGCTCTGTCTTGCATGATGTTGCAAGTCAGCCATGGGTTAATTTTTCCATAAGGGTGTTGTGTGAACCCAAACAACATGGGTTGCTGAAACATTAGACAACCTTCACATAAGCCATGGCTTATTTTAAGGTTATAAGGTATCTTTGAACTACTAACTTATCATGCGTATTTTCAGACTAAGTTTGGCTTTGTATTATTTTTCTGAAATGGCGTCATTTTCCAGAAGCAGGGTTTTTTTCAGGCTGGAAACTACTGTTTTGGTCCATGCAGTCTCATTTTGAAAGAAATCTGCCCTCCCCATTTTTAAACACATCTGCATGATATAAAATACTTTATAGCTACTCTGCTGCCAAATGCATGTCTCTGCTAATTCAAGGATCGAAAATTTCATGGTAGGAAGAGCGATGAACAAAGTTAACTATCCAATACCATCTCTAAGCTCGTTATGTTCATTAACACCAGCTAACAAGAAATGTTCCAGTAGAAGAAGGAAGGGTTCTCTTCACCCATTGTTCGTATCTCCTGCTGGGCTGTATGCCTCCCTAAGGCTTCTGGCCAGTTGCTGGTAAGGTGTTTTAGTTTTCCCCATGGATGACCCCCTCACCTTTTGTTTGTTTTGTGGACAAGGCATTTGAGTGCCCTCAGTATAATCTGTTCAGATGAAGGTGATCTCTCTGACTCCTTTTATCTATGTCCACTTGTTCAGTTGTAGCCCCAGTGGAGTCTGCAGGCAGTAGGGTGGGTGTGGAGATGAGGAGACTTTGGAGGGCCTTTTCCCTATTTTTCTCCAGAGATTTTTTGGAAAACATGGGGAACATCTGATTTTTTTCTTGTTCTTCCCTCCCGCATTGCCCCCACCAGGTTTTCATATCAGTAGTGCAGTACAGAAAGGGGGACTTTCTTCTGCAGATAGGGAGATGTAAACATTATTTTCTTGTATGAAGCCTATTGCAAATTTACCCTTGATAGTAAAATGATCTTCCTGTGACTTTTACATGTCACTTCTGGCTAAGGAACATTTGTTGCCAGGTGAAAGGTTTGACAACTGAGAGTCTTCCTAATGAGATAAATTCATAGCTGTCAGCTTGTGGGGGAATTTATAAGGCCTCCTTTCCACATGATCATGCAAATGATCATGATGGAGTGAAAGAATATTGTAGAGTCACCATGTCAAAAGTGAATGTTGAAATAGGTCTTCAGGGCAGCCTTTCCCGATGTGATGTCCTGTTGATGTGTTGGACTACAACTGACAGCATTCTTCAACTGGGCTAGGAAAGGCTAGTAAAACTTTAAAACAACCTTTCTCAAACTGGTGCCCTCCAGATTTGTTGGCGGGGCATGATGGGGGTTGCAGTCATCTGGAGGGTACTAAGTTTGGGAAAGTAGCTTTTAAAACTTCAGCCCCTTTCTGCCTCTGTGGAATGAACTGCAGAAGCACTCTGTTAATAATTCCAAGACAGTCTCAGCTGTCAGTCAGCCATCACCCTTGGGATGATGGGAGTTGTAGTTCAACAAATTTGAAGGTTGCTAGGTTTGGAAAGACTGGGTGGTTTTCAGTAAGTTTCTTTAGCTTAGATCAGTTCAAAAACAGGAGGAGAAGCTGGCCTAAGAGGTGAGGAGAATCATATATCTCTGAATGCAGTATAGGCTACTGGACTGAGGTGAGTGATCATGTTTTCTAAATCATGTGGAAAGGATGTCTGTTAATTTTGGGTGTTTGTTCTAAATAGTCAATCAGTTCAGAGTACTCCAAAGTTTTCTGAGCGTATTGTGTTGGGAGGATCCAACCCAGTCTCTACCTGGTCTTGACATTTCATTGGCTGACATTAATGAAATTTGCTTGGGTTGTCCTACTATCTTGAGTAAGCTTTACTGAAGCTTTTACTGCCCTAGCTGAAGTGGCATTGAAATCCTCAGTTTTCAGTACAAAGTAATGATACTCATTATGATGGCGAGGCTCCTTTTGCAACCTTGGGATGTAGTAATTGGTTTGTCTGATGTATTTTCTCCTTCCTCCACCTTTTCCCACCTCTGGCACAGCAAGCCTTTGTCACACATGTTTTTCCTTAGTGTAACAGTGCCATTGGCAAATGCAGTCCTGGTGCTGGTGTTTTGAATGTTCCAGGAACAGAACAAAGAAAATGTTTCCTTTAGCTGCGATGCCAGGATAAGACTGGGCTGTAATCTATTACAAGTTCTGGTATTCAAAATCACCAGAAACTTTTGCAGTTCTTGGAAACCACTAGGAAAGCATAAGATGACTTTAAAGTAGTTCATCATGCAATTGCTTTATTTGGTT